AATCAGCATCATTCAGCATCAATACGCTCAATCAGCAGGATCAACAGAATCAGGTAGTAAACTCGTAGTTGTAGCCTTGTTGATAGATATAAAAGAAAAAAAAGGGGCATCCAGACTGGCCGCGCGGGAGCAGCGGGAGTATCCAGGACGGGGGAAAGGGAACCTACAGGGACAGTTCCGGTAGCGAGCGACTGGCAGAGCAGCGGGAGGGATAAAGAGCCGTCTCTCCCGTCTCTCCGTCTTCTGTCTTCTGTCTTCTGTCTTCTGTCTTCTGTCTCTGTCTTCTCAGCCTGAATCTCTGTCTATCAAGTTCAGTTGCAGGCACAAAGAGAAAGACAGCGTCGGTTGCCGTCCGGATGCAAATTCTCGAAGGGACGGAGGACGAATATCAATTAGAGTACGATATTCCTTTTTCTTCTTCTCTCTTCTGCTCGTCTTCTTTTCTTGCTTGCTTGCTTTTTCCTTCGTTCTCGTTGCTTCTTCCTGGGGTGGCTGAATGTTCGTATATATCTTCGTCTCGTCCAGCGCTGAGTCTATCTCGCCGCCATCTCGCGGGGGTGGGCAGGCGATGTGCGAAGACTTTCTTTTCGTAGCAGGCTCAAGCCTCTTGTCTCCAGGTAGTTGGTGTCTGTCTGTCTGTCTGTCTGTCTGTTGCTGTTGCTGTTGCTGTTGCTGTCGAGGTTGATGCAGTCGTAGAGGTAGGCTCAGGGGCTTAAAGGGGGATGTACTTTTTTATATGTAAGTATGTAGATGTACCAGCAACCGACCGACAGCCGCAGCCAGAGAGATCGATGGAGAGCGAGAACCAGCGATTGAAAAGTCCCCCAGTGGAGTCCGATCGAGTCAGGATGTCCCCTGGCCGGGCGGTTCCCCCCTTTTGGCTGCGCGGGCGATGGTTATGATGGCTGATATCGAGCGATCAGCGGCCGACGCGGCAACGCAGAAGAAGCAAAAGCACGGCAAAGGCAGAGAAGCACAGCAAAAGGAGCAAAGTATGGATACACGCAGAGGCAAAGCCAGCGAGAGGGAGGGAGAGAGGGAGTCCTTTTTCCGGAGCAGGCTGCCGGGTCTATTAAAGCAGAGATGGGCTTCAAAAGAAAAGAAACATGGTACCACTGCTGGCTGCTGCGACTCTGCCAGAGGATACGACCAGATCTGCTCCATCGCGGCCGTCCATCGCACTGCCGTGATCCATGGGACGACTCCATCGGAACTCCATCTGGCTGCCTGGTCCCCCTTCGATGCGTCTGCGCTGCCTTCCTCCAGCCTGAGAATAATGGACCGGGACCCCTGAGCCAGATCCGCACTGCTGCTGCTCGGCCAGAGAAAACGCTACGGGGATGGAGACGGGACCCTGTCGAGGAGCAGGGGAACAGGCACAGGCACAGGTACAGGTACCTTCATCATCGTCTACACTACTACTTAGTCTCTGTTGACGGACATTACTACCGTGAATATCTGACTAGCCGTCTGTTGAATACACGCCATGGGGGCGGGTTCAGCGATGGCGGCCACTAGCTCTGCACGATGCGAATAGTCTGTCGATGATGGCCCTCTTCTCTTTCTCGAATCCTGCTGGCAGGATGGAGAATAAGAGTCAATCCCCTGGGGAACCGTCAGTGCCTGCAGCTCGGTGCGAGGGATGAGAGGAGGAGGCCGTTCAATCGAGACAGCCAGAGGGACAGCCAGAGGGACAGCCAGAGGGACAGCAACATCACCGTCGCCAACAGAATCAACAAGACAGCCGTTACGGGAGTCGTTATTATTGTCTCGCTACTTCGGTCCGCTGTGCAACATGCACGGCTAGGAAACGGCTGCTGAATATGAAGACCGTACAGGAATTGATTGCTGGCTGTGAGAGGCATACCAAAGACGGCCATGCAGGACAGACGACCACTTTCGACTTCGACTCGCTCCTTGCTTTTTCCAGCTGAGTAGCTTATATTTGCTTCTTCCTCTTCCTCTTCGTCTTTTCCTTCCCTTGGAGACCCAGAAATTGACTTCCTTGTCGCCGTGGTTGCTTTTTAAAGATCGGCATCCAGTCCTTAGCAGCGCCCCTGGTCAGGCCCAATCATGCTTATATCCTGCAATCGCTGAGACGCCAGGACGAGCAGGACCAGCAGGACCAGCAAGACAGTAAGACAGAGAGAGACCGTCAAAGAGCAGAGCCTTGTCTTGTCGTCTTGACAGACAGAAAGATAGACAGAGGCAGATGCTTGTCAACCGTGTGTCTGACAGGCACGGCTGGTGATATGCTCCGGCCATCTTCCACGCCATCAGAGCGTCGCAGCGTTACAGCCAGGGCAAGGCAGCCACCCACGGCTCTTACGGCTTCTGTGCGATGATGCTATCGCTCTGGAGTACTCCGTACAGACCTACTACAAGTCGGAGACGTAGTAGTGCCACTTAACTTTTGCACTCGAAGTGCCTGCAAGGCCCGGCTTTTTGTCGCTTAGGAGCATGGACATGGACATGGACGGCATACCCGCACTCCGTACTATATTTTTCTTTTATCAACAACCTCCCGGATAGAGGTCCCGTCGGTTTTGGCCTCTGGATTCCGTTGCTCCAAGCTCGTTTCTTCTTCCTTTCTCCGTTGGACAGCTCGCAACTTAACAGCCCAAAATCCTGCTGGCTGGAGAGGGCTACCCTTTTCGCCATGTACCGGCCCGAGACAGCTGGGTGGATGCCCATCAGCATGTTTTCTTTCTCTCTCCCTTGTTTCTCTTACATATATATACATGTATAGTTGACCAGGGCATGGGAAAACCTGGAGAAGAACTCAAAGGCAGGCCGCAAAGCACACACTGCCAACGAGTAGTGACCTCTATTGATACGATACGGTTTACTTCGAGGGAGTTGCTTACTGCAAGGCTATCAAGCCGTCGATCTCCCCGGTCGTACGCAATCAAAGGAGCCTTGTCTCTCCCTGTCTGCAAATACGGCAGCAAACACAAGTCAATCAGAAGCAAACAGAGCAGAAAAGCAAGCAGAGCAGCACAGTCAGAGTATGAGCATCCTCCCCCAGGCTCTCGCACCGGCTATCTTGACTTTACCTGCCCGTCCATGGTCCGGTCTTTTGCCTGGATGCAGGATGGGGCACTCCTCTTCCCAATTGCTGCACCAGGATGGAGTCGGAGTCTGGATAATTAAAAACGGCTCCTCCCATTCAGCAGCCCAGCCGACCACCCGGGTTTCCCTTGTGCTATCAAGTATATGGGACACTGCCTTGTGCTATTACATATGGCTGCCTCTGGTATCCGTGGCACTGCCTGCCTGCTCCCGTGCTTGATATTAAATGCACTAATGCACTAATGCACAAGAGAGGCCCCATGTTTCCTTTCGGGCATCCACTGCTGCTGCTTAACTGCCTGCCCTCCAGGGACAAGTCTCTCCAGATCGGCTGGTGAATGGGCGCCTTCTGATGCACCTCCAAGCATCTCCAAGCACCGCCAGCACCGCCAGCACCGCCAGCAACGGCCACAGCAGCTCTCGAAACCCCTCGCATCTCCATACCATATTGGGTGGTCTGACACACGCCCTCCTGCATGGATGGGCGGGCTGGGAGGGCCCCATGGTTCTTCTCCGTCGAGCCGTCTCAGCGGCCGTCTTAGGCTCTAATTATAGCTCGTTTGTTGTTTGTATAGAGGCTAGTGTTTACTTCGTTTACGAGATATCTATATGGTAGGTGTGTCCGTGGTAGCAATATAGATATGTATGTTTGTATTGTATGTTTGAATGCAGGAGTAAGTCTACGGGCTGCTTATAGTATGCGCACTATCAGCATGGAGCAAGTATATCAACACCAAATATCGAGACTCCGTGAATAAATGACAACAGTGTCAAATATATTGGTTAATATCAAGGTACCCTTTGGGCAGTCAGAGGAATGCTCCAGTCGGTATGTATCATCCTCTTTCGCAGCCAGCCTGCCTGCTTATCCAGCCAGCCAGCGAGCTCCTTACGCCCTTCCCTCCCCTTCCCGCCCTCATGTTTCAATATCAGCCCAACTATCCAGCTGCTGTTGACACTTCACATCGACTAGCTGGCCGGTTCCATCTCTCCATCGTCCGTCCACCCGCCTATCCGGCTCGCCTGCCTTCTAGCCCCCTCCACCGTCCCAATCCTTAATGGCGGATAACTGTCCTCGCCCTCTTATTACCCCAGCTAAGGCCAGGGATGGGAAATGACCGTCCACCTGGCTAATATATAACCCATCGCGGAGCTCCCATTGGCTTCCGCATGACTGGTTGGGTCGGACGCCGGGCAGTCAAGAAACGGTTAAGACGCAGGGCCGGGCTGGCGAGAGGTCCCTGGCCACGGAGACGCCCGTTGAAAAAGGGACTACTGCTGGCTCATGAGTGACCGGGAGATTTCTGGTAGGCCAGTAAAGCCAGGAGCTGGACTAGTAAACACGCTGGTCAATCAGTCAAGTAAGTCATCATGCAGGCAAGCCGATGACGAACAAAGGGTCGAGGTGATCGCTTGAGGGACTGGATTACCTGCTTTAGTTCAGGGTTGAAGGGATGAAGGGCATCCAATGCTGGCGCAGATCATATGCGATCATCAGCTATTGTCCAGTCAAGACTAGTTCCTATCATAGTTAAATGGCAGCATCTCCGTTGACGTTATAATAGTTTGCTTGCATATAGTAGTTCGTTCCGTGGAGACTATCGCCAGGGGGGCAAACTAGCTGGCCTGGCCCGGTGTGGGAGCGCCACCGGAGACGAGACAGAAAGAGGATAATTGATGTACTCTGTAGAAGCAGATGATAGCTTGACTAGAACGGTAGCTATTTAACTAAGTAAGTACACCGGCTTTATCGTTTCAGAGTGTCTTTTCTTGTCGTCTTGTCGTCTTGATCTTCGTCGAGAGCGTGTCATTGAACTTAAAGGGGGGGAAAAACCGATGCAGAACCGGGGATGCAGAGGCAGGGCGGATGAAGCAAAATAATGAAGCAAATAATGAAGTCAACCGGGGGGAAAGGAAGAAGAAAAGGGGGGGGAGAAAGGGAGAAACAAGAAATAAACAAGATGGCCCTGCGAAGTTGCTTTTCATTATGCATGCAAGAGGGAAACAGAAAAACGCCGTAAACTTGTCCGAACTGCTGGAAAGAAAAGGAAGGTCATAAAGGACATGATGGGTAAATAAGAAGCACATAAGACCTTTGTTTGATGCTAATGTGCTGATGTGCTGTGTGAAGCTGAGTGTGATGCTGAGTGAGGGTGATGCTGAGAATTAGATCAGTTCCTCTCGAGTCTTACGGCCCGCAGACCAAGAGGCTCGATCAGCTCGCTGGCCAGCCACTTGGTGACCTCGTCAGCCATGTACATGTCGTCCACGTCGAGCGTCTCCTCCAGCGCCGACTGTATCATCTTACGGGCATCGGTGAAGCCAGGGCGGTAGGTCACATTCTCCTCGTCGTCAAACGAGACAGCCATGGTCGTGGACTCGAGTATGTCGTCGAACTTGTCCTCATCAACCAAGTTGGGGAAAAAGTTCTGCAGCAGCAGCGAGATCCTGTCAAGGTACTCGTTGACGTATGTCCTGGTGTCAGGCTCGACGCCCTCAACTGCCCTGGGGTCGTGGGGGAGGGTGCGCGAGCGTATGACGATCTTGCAGACATGAGCTGAGATGGTGCGTAGACCGTTGATGTAGGCGGTCAGGAGCTGCTTGTCGAGGTCGAGATGGTCCCTGGAGTGCTCGTCTGGCTCGTCGTGCTCGTCATTGCTAAAGTTTGCCGGGTCGAGAGACCTTGGCTTTGCAGCGAGAGCAATCTGAATCTTCTCGTGGATAGTCATCTCGGGAAGTGGCTCCGTGGGTGGTTCCGTCTCCGAGTCGTATGTCTTGTCGGGGATCACAGTCTCCAGCGCGGGTGCAAAGTGCACAGAGCGTGAAAATGAAATGTATGAAAACTCATCGTCGAGACCTAGGTCTGTGGAAGTTAGCAGTCGGGATATAGACATTATCAGAGAGGGACAAACTCACCATCTACATGGTCGTCACCATTGACAGAGACGTCGTTATCATCGTCAGAGGCATCGTCAGAGTCAGAATCGAACATCTCAACATCCTCGTCTTCTTCATCATCCTCTTCGTCCTCTTCATCCTCATCATCGTCTTCTTCCTCAGTTTCCTCGTCATTATCTTCATCATCTTCATCATCTTCACCATCATCATCGTTGTCGCCTAACCATTCGGCTTCATCAAAGCAGTCAGTGGCCAGCAATGGGCGATCAACATGGACTTCAGCAGAGACAGGTAAATGACAGATTTCTACACCTCCAGCAGATTGGTCATCGACAGAAGTCAAAGAGGCAATGTCAGTTCCCTCACTGTACTCGTCATCGCCGTTCTCTCCGTCCGATTGTAGCAGCTCCTGTGGCTGGTGTTCCTGGGCAGGCTGCGGTGGCCGCTCCGTCTGTGTCTCCGTTGCCGTCTCTCTTAGCATGCGCTGGACCTCAGTCTTCAAGTCACCGCCGCCTAGACTTGACACTGACGAGTCCGAGAATGAGAGGGTAGATGAGCGCACCAGAGGCGTATGGGTGAACTGCGGAGGTATAATTGCAGTCTCTGCATCCTTGGGTTCGTCGGACAAGTACGGTCGTTCGTAGGCGTCGAGGGCACCCAGACGGCGCCTCCCGGCCAGGTCGAGGTGATGGTGGAAAGCAGACATGATGGCGCAGTACTGGGGACTGGGCTGGTCCTTGAATCCTGTGCCTGTGCCTGTGCCTGTGCCTGTGTTGAAATTGACGATGGTCGAGTAAGCGTTTGTCTGAGGACTGAGGCCGTAGAAGAGTCCACAGCGGAATGACATTTCTTGCGCTTGTTTTGTGTGCACGATATCAAGTTCGGCTCTTTTATAGCAACGCACAAAAAACAAAAGCAGCAGCAGCAAGAAATACAGCAAAAGAGGGGGTCCTCTCCTCTTTAGATGTCCTCCCAGCCTCCCGATTAGTTCACCGAACTCAGGCTCTGCAGAAGAGGGGAAGTGAAGTTTTCTCTCTCCTCGTTCTGCTGCAGTGATAGCTGAAGGGTGGCTGGGGTGTTGTTTGTGTTGGTGAGAGGGCGGAGAGGTCACTTGGTGGTATTTACTCGGTACAGGAGTTTGATATGGAGAAAGCAGCAGCAGGGGAGGTAGAAGAGCAGTGACTATGGAGAAGGTGGTCTTCTCAGGAGTAGTTTTTCAGGTATCCTGGATATGCTGTCTGGAGGGTAGCTGTCTGAAGGGTAAGTTTTTGCAGGATATATCACTTGCGAGTCGAGATCGAGGCAGAGCAGAGTCAGATCGGTTGTCCACAGCGAATACACACGGGGAGATCCCCCAGATGGGCTCCTGGGAGGAAACCATGGTTGGTGGGAAAAGAATGGCCCTAGTAGGCCATGCTGAGAGCACGTAGACGGGGTAGACAGATATCAAAAAGAGCAAAGGACAAATAGCACGAGGAGATATCACTACGGGACCAAATGGTATATTTATATCTTCACTTCCACCAGCAAATGACGTCAATGACCTTGAGGCAGTTGGGAGTAATGGTAAAAGGCGAGCCGACTTGGAAGATGAGCTGTTGTTTCTGGCTGCTGAACATTCCTGATGCTGGGCTGTGGGAGGCGCGCGAGAGCGAGTTCGGGGTCCTGCTTGCTGCACAGGAGGATATCGAGCTGAGTCTTGATCTGGACACCGGTCTTGGGGCCTGAGAGCATTTGGATGTGTGATGAGAAGCTGGGGAAGTGGTCGAAGAGGGGGGAGGCAAAGAGTAGATCTCGATCAGGAGGACGAGGAGAGGGCGCGCGTGAGTCCGACCTGGCTACCTACTGGAGCAGGTTGAAGGGCCGGCGAAGGGGGAGTTCAGAGCTGGACAGCCGTCGTCGGGGACAGCTAGCGAGTGCTTCTATCTATCGTCGTTGATGCTTGGGCTGCGGGCGTCTGGCGGGCGTTTTTGCGAGGAAGATGGGAGGTTTTTCGTCGCTGTGACGTCGTCGTAAAAACGAGGTTGACGAAGGGAAAAAAAAAGTTAAGAGAGCGAAGAGGTCGGCTGTGGCCGGCGCCATCGCTGACAAAACCGCGGAGGGTCGCCGGTACTTCTAGAACCGCGGGGCGCTGCACCAAACTGGAGGTCACTCGCGACCGCCGGCAGTTTCGACAGCCATGCACCGCCGCATCGCAGGGTCGCTCTGGCTGCTGCTGGCAGATTCTCATCTCTACGGCGTATTCTCTGTCTATACTGCTTACTGCTGCACATCTACATCTACTATCTACGTCTTGAGGGGTGCAGAGTACATTGAGTTTGCAGCTGCAGGAGCTGCTGGCGGGCTGATCCGATATCTGATGAGTCTCAGTCTTCATCTTCATCTTCATCTCAGCCTGTTCAGCCAACATCAACTGCAAGTCGTATCAGCATCAGCCCAGCATCAGCCCAGCATCAGCATAAGACTCGCTCGTCTTGTCTCTTTACTCTCCGTCGACGTCGGTTTGCCCCAGAAAAGCCCTGGAGCGCCTCGGGAAAGTCTCCGTCATCCTGCGTCATAGCAAGGATGCTCCATCTCGCCGCAGCTCCAGTCATTGGCGGGCTCGCTTTTTCCGTTGATATTCACACAAGTCGACGATGATGATGAACCGGCGATGATCAAGGACAGGACGAGGACTTCGTCTCAAGAGGCTACTGTCGAGGCTACTGTCGATGTCGACGGCCGGCCATGTCAGCGCCGTGCAACCGGCCAGCGTGTCAACCTGCCTTGCCTCTGGGATGCAACAGCGAACCCGCTCTTTATATTAAGGAGCAGCAGGCCGGCGATGGTGATACTTCGAAGTCTGACCAAGAGGAAACGAAAAGAAAAAAAAAAAAAAAAACCCGCCGAACCCACGGCCAGCGACCCAGAAGGAGGGCCTGCATGAGGGTTCCAAGGACGGTGATACACCCACTCAGCGGACAGGCCTTCCCCCGTCGGCCGGGCCTTATGTACGCTCTGCTAAACAAAGGACAAAGGGATCTCTCTATCGCTCGCTCAAGTCTCTTTTTGTTTCTTTGGATAGAGTTCGTCTCAAAAGTCTGGTTAGACTAAGGCAATTAAAAATTATATTCATCATCTTTCTGCTCGCTGGGCCTGGCGCCCTTTGTTTGGCTGTGGCCCCCCCAGGCATGATCATAACCACGGATCCACGGGATGGGGGAAGGCAAAGAAACACTTTCAACTCAAGTCTTCAGGGCCTTGTCCCATTGTTCTTTGCGCGGCTCAAGGAACCTCCGAGGTACATCGTATCTTCATCTTCATCCTCATCGTCAGTGGGGGGGGGAACTTTGCTGTCTTCTCGCTGGCTGAGGAATCATCCTCCTTCCCCTCCCCCGTCTGGCCGTCTGGCCAAGGGACTAACTCACGGGGAAGCACAAAAGTGAACAATCCAGACGGCTCAATTGACTATCGAACGGTCTCCTGCTGGGCAAGACGAGCGTATCAACGTTACTTTCACTGTCCCAGCACCATGGGTCGTCTTTCTCAACTGCCTAGGGGGGGAAAGGGAATGCTCGACTTGAAGCACCAGATTTGGATATTATACACCCCCTTCTCTCGCAGCCAGCCAGCCAGCCAGCCAGCCAGCAAGCTACTTAACGTATACACAACTAACTAGTTACCCATCCCCCGGGAAGAAGCACTGCTTGGTCCCGCCAGTCAGGGCAACAAGAGAAGCCACTCCACTGCCCGCGCTGCATTAATTTACACCGTTCTTCGATGGTGACAGGGTCGACCGACCGCCAGGCTGCGTCTCTGCTTGGTTGTGTCTCCGTATCTCAATGTACTGTATGTAGCTCAATTTGCCTGCCCGCTGGGGGATGGCACAAGAGTCGATCTGCCTGGCTGCACCAAGCCATTCTGCTGTGCTCTTATCGGGCATTTAGCACCGAACTTCTGCTTCTCTCTTCACAGGCTATTATACTGGCTGGCCTGGGTTTCTTTTTTTATCTCTCCTCCCCTCGGACGGACCGTTGCTTGTCGTTTTTGTGGCAACTAAGGGGGGGAGGGACGGGGGCCCGTGGTCCTGCGTCTTGTATATTGATCCCCTGATATCATATCATATAGACAACCACCAACACCTACAAGCACCCGCACCAGCAAAGGAGAAACACAGGACATGACATTGGTGAATCCACCAGCCGTGGAAGCTAGCTCATGTCTATTTCTATCTCTTTCTTTTTTCATTTCCTTTTTTTTTTTTTTTTTTTTTTTCCCCTTATTAGACACACGAGAGCCTCGAAGACTTTGCGGTCTTTGTCCTCCAATAACCAACTTTAAAGCGTTGTCATTCTGCTTCTCCGTCTTTCTGTCTCTTCTTCTCCTGCTGCTACTTCGTGCTCTTTGTTCCTGCAAAGGCCCGCATGGGATGATAGTCCAACGGCTTCTTCGATTCCGTGGGATGTTCCGTCTCGGCCTCTGCTGTGTTTCTTCTTCTTCTGCTTCTGCTTCTTCTGCTGCGGCGGCTTCGTCCTGCTCGTCTCTTTTTTTATATACCTGGGGCCGCCCATGGTAGACCGCCCGCCAGTCCCAAATATACCTCACCGGCCAAAGAGACCAAGAAAGATACACAGCACACAGAGATGGAGTGACTGGCTGCAGCCTGAGCTATTATTATAAGCGCCCTGACCCTGCATATCAGAAAAGAGGATTTCCTTTCTTCCCTCTTCTGCTGCTGCTGCTGCTTCTTCACGCTGCCTGCCCTGTCTCACTCAGAATAGAAACAAAAACCAACTTCCTTTGCTCGACATCCACTGGCTCAGCCCCGGCATAAGACAGCCAGCTTGAGATAGAGACCAGTCTTCTTTATCCCTCGTGTTTTAGCTCTCTCGTTTTCTCTCGTTGTTTTCTGGTTTTCGTCTTTCTCACTCTCAGTCTGTCTCTTCCTCTCTGTTTGTCTGTTGTCTGTCTGGCCGTCCCTTTCACCATCTATCTGATTTACGACCAGATATCCTCCAGGTCCCAATATCCCAGGATCACCCAGCTGCAGGGCCTGCAGGAGATCAAGATTAACGGTTGCGCCCAATTAGAAAATACAAATATATCCCTCGACCATGGCCGTACCCAGAAACATGGGTTCGAGGACGCAAGCGGAAAACAAAGGTCATAGTCTGCCAGGCCCGATAGATGATTCGTTCCGTAACACGTTGGGCCTCCATGGTGAGATGCAACCTCCCAGTTGTACGGCCAACAAAGGCCCTGCATTTGCATACGCTGTCGATGGCAATACCCTCTTTCATGCAGGCCTATCCCAGATGAAGCCTGGCAGTCTGCCTGTCCGCCGCTGGACAGACGCTGACCTTTCATCTCTCCAGCCGGGTCCAGCCCTGACCCCAGACCTGGTGTTGCATCACCAGCAGCATCAACTCCAACATGACCATGCCTTTGATGCCCACGCGAGCGGGCAGCTATTAACAGCAGCAGCAGCTACAACAACAACAACACCTGCAGCAGCAGGGCCAGGGCCAGGAGGAGGAGAAGAAGTAGGAGGAGGGGACCAATTTCATGTCGATTCCGGGGTGCTGTTTCAGGATCCAAAGGAGCAGCTTGTTGGGCCTCCCTCCTCGCGGCCCACTGCCGGCAACTGGATGGAACGGCAGATGTACAAGTATAGCCATAACCAGCAGCAGTCTGCAACAAGGAGACAACGCCGACAGCATAAATCAATTGAACAGCCTGCCACGTTGACAGCAAGAAAGGGAGATCTCCTGTTCTCAGACCATCCAGCCCTCTCGTCTCCTCCTCCTTCGTCGTCATCGTCTTCGCCTTCTCCCGGTACCATGGCTTCTTCCTATCAAGACAACAATAACAGCAACAACTGGTTTCAGCAGCGTCTGGAAAGCTACGGCCTTCAGCAGATCGTTCAGTCCCCGGAGTGTCTTGAGTCAACTACTACGCCTGCGTCCTACTCGCAGACTCCCCTCGATAGACGTGAGAGTACGTCCCATCTATCTAATGCCAGCGGAGGGTCAAGCCGGTCACCTCTCAACAGCAACACACCCATGTCGACGCCACGGTACGGCCCGAGTATGATGAGCCACCCAATACACAGCTCACCGGTACCAGCGACCAACGACATCTCGGAGACCACCCCTTGTCAGCAGCAGCAGCAGCAGCCGTATCAAGATCCATCGACCGTTACGTCGGTACCGGATCACACATCGCCGCCTCCTCCGCATCAGATACTACGTTCTCAGCCCTGTGACGGATCTCCAGCCAGCTCCTGGCATTCAGAACCCATGAGTGTCTCTACCTTCCACTGTTCCCAGCCCAACATCCAGTCTCATGAGCCTGAGCAGTGGTGGGCAACAACTTCCTCTCATACCATCCCCAACAGAAGCTTGCAACCTCCTTTCCCTCACGCAAGCTACTCCCCAGCAATGACATCTGTCTCCTTGCCATTCCGCAATCAGCACCAACGGTTCGCACATATTCCAGAATCAATCCAAAACTCTGGCCTCATGATAGGCATGGACACATCTTCCCCTGAAATCAGCTCTTCTATCCAGCAGGACCCCGTTGCAATGTCCTCCCCCCAACTACCTGGAACTGAAGTCGCATTGCCACTAGCCTACACCCTCCCATTTTTTCCACAACATCATCAACGCTCCCACCAGCATCCTCAACCCCCTCCTATCCAAACTGCCCATAATACCCCAGTTTCTCTATCCCATTCGGCACCAACCATA